CGGTGTGGATTCCGCTTGGGTCGCAGCACTATCGATATGGTGTTTGCGGAACATCAGTTGCAGGAGAACTGCAGAGAACGGCACCAGCCGTTGTACCCACTTTTCGTTGATTTCACCAAGGCCTTTGATACAGTGAACCGCGAGGCATTATGGCTGGTGTCGGGTAAGTTCGGTTTTCCGCGTAAGTTTATAAGAATGTCTGCACAGTGGTATGCGGCGAGGGTGCAGCTGATTGGAGAGACCTCGGATGACTTTGCAGTTGTCTCTGGTGTGAAGCATGGCTGTGTCTTAGCTCCTACCCTGTTTAATATGTATCTTCATGCATTGATGTCTTGTACTTTTGATGCAGCTTATGCTTAGGGTGTTCATGTGGAGCACCTTATTAATGGTGCGTGGCAGAACATCCATCGTTTCCGTGCGAGAACTCTAGTCTGTGAGACAACTGTCCGTATGTTGCTGTTTTCTGAAGACTGTATGTTGTTTTCACACAGCGCGGATGCGTTGCAGCACATGACTAGTGATCCGGCTTCGACAACGTCCAAATTCGAGCTCACAGTCTACACACGCAAAAGTATTTATCTCTTTCATTCTACAATGGAGGTGCAATCTTCAGTATAGCCGCATATCAGCATTGGTGCTGAAGTATTGGAAATCACCTCCCGCTTTTGCTACCTTGGGAGTGTGATGTCTACTAACCTGCAGCTTCACAGTGAGCTTGTTATCTTGAAAGCAGCGGCGCCATTCGGGAAGCTAGAGTACCGAGTGTGGAACAACCATCAGCCTACCGTTGGCACGAAGTTGTTGGTGTACAAATCCATGTTGCTGTCCGTTCTTCTATACGGAAGTGAAATGTGATGGTATACCGGCGGGATGTGGGATATCTCGAGCGGTTCCATCAATAGTGTCTGCGACGGATTCTGCGCATTGGTTGGGGCGACAGAGTTGCGGACACGGAAGTGTTGCGCCGAAGTGGAGTGTATGCAGTAAAATGCATACTTCGCTTAGACACCTGAGGTGGCTCGGTCATGTGAGCCGTATGGATTCGACGTGGATACCGAAACAACTGTTATATGGTCAGCTGAGTATTGGGAAGCGCATGTGGGGGAACCGAAGTTACCAGGACATGATCAAGTTAAGCCTCTCACCTTCTAATCTTGATTGCAGGTCATGAGAATCGAAGGCGGTTGATCGGCGTGCATGGCGCGATCTGATCACGAAGGCACTTGCCGAGATGCAGGAGAAAGACCTCATGCGTGCGGAGAAGAAGCGGCAATTACGGAAGCGACAGACGCCGATGCGTTGTACTCCATCGACATCGAGCGCATGGTGTTGTAGCACATGAGGTCTCGAGTGCCTAAGTCAGGCAGGCCTAGTGAGCCATGAGCGAGGCCACTCGAGGTCCTGCAGAGAACGTAGGCCGAATCGGCGCAGCGTTTGTAGGTAGCTGTATTCGATTTATTACCGGCTTGTTTGAATAATAAGTGTCTATATTTCAGGTGGTATGTTTGTTTTATTGCCTCCTTAATGTGTACCTGCACTATTTTCTATTAATTTGTACACGTCGCTCAAGTTACTTATAGTTAACGTTGATAACATGTTTGCGTTTGTTGCATTTTCTTAAAATATGTTTTCTGACGTCTAGAAACTACAGCGGATATTTTGGCAACCAATTTATTTCGAATGCTTATTTATTAAAGAGCTACGTCGGCATATCTGTACGCAATATTTGATTTATTTTATTTGATATTGTCGTTTCATGTGATTGGGTGTTGCTCGATATCCCCGGTGTGCCTGCGCTTGATGTACATATTGACAAGGTGAATAAATGTCTACTACCCACTATCTCGTCCGTACTGGCTCTAGGAAACAGTTGGTCGTTGCTGGAGGGGACGGAGTGCACGTTCCTTGTGGCCGTGCTGGGATAAAAGTATGGTTCGATGCACTCAGTGTGGAGCGGGCTACCGTCCAGCCATTGCCTTGTGCGTGCTTGATTACCCAACTACAGTGTGATTGTATACGCCTGTGAAGGAGTGTGGGCCGGCTGCGTTGATGAAACGCATCCTCATCCACATGCCTCCTGGTCTTATTCCTTCTGGTTTACACTGGATACAGGTGTGTGTTTGGAGCCTTGGTTGGTGCAGCGCAAGCCACCCATGGTTCCTCTGTAGGCGCAGGCATCCTGTGGCTGGCCACAGAGACAGGTAAATCAGAAACCGGATGCCGCCAACCATATATGGATGGTGTACAAAGAAACAAATAACTACGTATTTAGCTACTTTTATTCAGTCCACCATAACCTTCATGCATTCTGGTTGGTTTTAACTGAAATGAACCGTAGGCAGAACTACGGTATAACGCCATCACCAATTGGCAAGCTACTTGCGCAACTCTGATCAACTTCAGTCCAACTTGCTATGGCGGCCACCTGTTTAAGGTGATTACCAGTCTAAAATCTTCCCAAAGGTTTTCTTTTCTGAGTAATGTCCCTATGCATGAACCTGTCCATATCTACCACCTATCCAAGGCGACCACTTTTTGTCGGTCCTTTGAGTGGTCGCCTTAGACAGGTTTTACCGTACTAAAGTTGTGGTAGACATAGAAGGTGGTGTTTCCTACCAAAATCACAAGGGTCTAAATTATTTTTAAGACTCAGAAACGAAGAGATGCTGATGAGGTTAGATGTTTCCTAACATCAATACCTTGTGCGAGATTTTGCCTGTTGCAGCAACCTACATAGTAACTAATACTTCTTTTGTGTCCTATTCTTGATTTATTGCTTGGCAAGAAAATATATGGGTTTTGTTAACCAAGGATAGCGTTAGTTACGAAAATGATTTATAGTTACTTGTATATTACTCAGCTACATATAATTCGGTTTTGGAATCATCATATCTACCCTCTACTATTCTTGACACCTATATGAAAAACTGACTCAACTTTAGTGTTATCCGATGTCGTCCAGTGGATAATTCCAAGAAACTGCAGTTTGACCGCGAGGATATCTTGAACTTTGACTTTCTCATTGTGAGACTGATATCACTCTGTAAAAATGGGAGCCGGTTCGGATTCGCTTAAGTATTGGCGTCAATAGTTCAATAGTGTATGATAGGATAAAAAACATAACTTTACAAGACCAACTGGATGGATGCGCAAAAGAAAATCAAACTCAAAATGTTCCAACGTGGAACGTGAAGTATCAGTGGTTAAACCGTTGCACTTTATCAAACTTAGCGTTTGTCACTAAGATGAAAGTCTAAGAGTCTTTCGAATGTCGTCAAGTCTGGTGCGTTCACCACATATTTTGGTAATGCATTCCAGTAAGAACAGATTCTAAATGAGTAAAACATTTTCTACCATTCAGACGGGAGTGTTGCGTTATTAGTTTCAGAGGGCTGCCTCGGCTTTGTTTGTAAGGGGCTAGGGTCAACAGTGAAGTACATGGATGCTCACTTTCAGTTAGTATCCAGTATGTGAGAGTAAGATCTCCGCGAAGCCGTCGGTATTCTGATGAGAACACACCGAGTACACGGAGACGCAGTTCGTAACTTAGACCGGATAGTCCACGCGTTGCCATTGTGGCTCCTCTTTGGGGCTGTTCCAGTAGGCAAATGTATCGTTTTAACCATGGCCACCAGGCCTGAATTGCATATTCAACATGAGGGAGAATATAATTAATCAGCTTTGATACTAGCCGTCGCGCAAAGGTGTCGAGAGCTCGCCTCAAAAGTCTCAAGTTCAAGTTCGCCACACTTCCTGCTTTCGAACATCGAAGCGAATTGGCAAAACTCTCTTGCACGATTATACCTACGTCGCGTTCACTACTCACGTGGTGCAGGGCGTGTTACCCCAAAATGTGTGTTGACGAAGCTGCTGCGCACCGTCAGCAGGTGGCACTTTGCAGGGTTCAGTGGGAGCTGGTTCCTTTCTGCCATTCGTTAATGCGAGTCAGATCTTCCTCGAAGTAGACACAGTCGGATGCTGAACGAATTGCCCTTTATATTTTAGCATCGTCTGGAAATATTTTCATCAAATTTGTAGCATGGCAGTGAAGCGTCATTATTGTGTGCTTTAGTATTGTCAATGTCTTCCTTCATTCGTGGAGCCGAACGGGCGGGTCTACGGTTAAGTTGTTACAAAGGTTCTGCGGACGCGCTTTCAGATGCAAGAAACACTGTGCTTCTGAGAGATAATCAGGAAATAGGTCTCACGCGGTTCCTATTCGTCTACTCACAGCGCGGGTAAAAAGTAATCAGACTAATCGTATTTACTTCGGACCCTGTCATAGCATGCTACAACGAAATCTTCCCAAGGTTTTTTGATACCAGTGCTTTGCGCTTCGACTGGATGTGTCATTTCCACTAAGGAACAGTATGTCTATCTGGTAAAGGATGCGCCCTATAGGTCCGAATTATCCTTGTTAACTTCCCCAGTGTATGTCCTGTATGGTCACCCCACTTATATATTCATAACGCGTCCAGGAAATTCGCCCTCCCTAATTCAGCCTTAAAAATGCTTCAAAGGCACCTCTTATAGTGTCGCTTTGGCTCGGACCAAGCACCACTGTAACGATTCGACTGACATTGGACGTAGATTGACAGCACAATATGAGTTTAGTTAAAACAAACCAGGTCCATAAAATTCCAGTTCGTTCACCGACCTCTCATGAAAACTGCCTGAATTATTTCGGAGTGCATCTGAGGAACTGAACCGTCTCAGACATTGTCAACATCTGGCATATTAGTGATTACTCTAGAATTTTTGTACTAATTTGAACAAACTTACTACGAAGTATAAAGACCAAACTCCATAAATCAGCGTTTACCTCTAATGTAACGCACTCAAACGGGACAAGTGATAGGACCCTTCTTGCCGTACCTTGCCTTTCAGCGCAACGCTTGCAGTTTCTATGGTGTTACACATATCTAGACACTAGTTTATCAGTACCGCAACCATTTCGTTTCTAGTGCTGTTTACTCGATAAATGTTCATGCCATATCCAGTCACCAGATACGAATGCGCGATCATCTTTGCGGGGCACTGAAGAATCAATCACGATGTCTAGACCACGGTATCAAGCTGTCAAAGTTTCTGAATTGTTAGAAAATCGTAATTCACCAACCAACGATAGACAGCAGCAACAACACACTAGTCTTGAATCGCGGTATTCACCGCGGCCAAGTCACCATCCATTATCCACTCTTCCAATAAGAGCTGGTGTCCGTCCTTCTTCGCTATCTTATCGCGTTTGTTCCGGGGACAACTATCAACAGGATGACGAAGTTCAACGAGCTCAGTCACCTGCGTTTCAAACAATTGGTCAGAATGACAACTCCGGAAAAAGGAGCCATGATTCATATGCTATGCACATGCATAGCAAAGCCGAGCAACTAAGAAATCCGCCAGTGATTCGCTCTCCAACTTCTACCTCTGCGCCGCAGCCACAACATACGCAAATTGGACGATCTGGTTCAGCCTACCGTGTAAACAACAATCCTTCAGAGTCTGTCCAATCTGGAACATTTAGACACTCTCCTACCCATTTTCCATCTACTATACATCGTTCTATCACTATGTCTCCTACATCACCTACTCTACTATACACAACATCAGTGGTTGTCAAACCACCAGCACCAAATGGAATTCGAACAGGTCCCTCGTTTGATCGCGACAAATACTCCTTGCCTAATGATGTCACGGACATTTCAAGTAACAAAAGTGGGGGTGCATGTGGAGAGTCGAACGCTGCCATTATCCGCAGTGGTTCCTTGGATCCAAGTGATTTATTAGTGCGCCAGGAAGTGATTGGTGTCAAAAAGGCCACCAGTACCACATTTACGCCGCCAGTTAAATTCAGCGGACAGCAGGAAGCTGCTCGAAAACAACACAACACATCCGATAAACGTACACAAGGAAACTCTCCAAATCAGGTAAGATTTACAGTTAACTTACTAACAACAGACTATAATCATAGGGAACTGCATCAAAGAATAAGTTTAGACATCTTAATTTTATTTCTGAGTGATAACAATCAACGTGCTTCGATTTAAGCATTCCTTTTATAAGCCTTTTCTAATATACTGGACACATTTTGGTTTGTTTAGCGACGAGCACGAAGGTCCGTGGTGGATAAAATAAACAGTTGTCGAATACTAACAGAGAAACTTGTAATCCACAGTAACATGCTGTGAGGTTGCGTTATTACACAAAATCCGGGCACGTGATGATTATCTTGTCCATTGATTATTCATTAAAGTCCAATATTTTTGACCGCAGTAGTGCTCACGAACGCAAAATATATGTAGCCTTAAACGTATACGTTCATTTTGCACGCTAACCTGTTTGGCTAATTTCGATTTGATAAACTCAGCCACCTCCTAGCTATACAGACTTGCAAGAGTCATGTTAAGCACTGGATGGTTATTTGTCTTATCCGGAATACCAATATTCCGCTGACTACGATGGACTATTTACACAGCGCAATAAAATCTTCATTCATAAGTAGCAACTAAATACCTATACGTACAAATACATTCCTTGGAATCATATCAAATAGAACCGTTACCATCAGAGAGGAATGTAAACGCGCATTATGGTGTTGAAGTTTGTCTGTAGTGCGCCTGCATATGGCACGGTTGTATAATTGTATCAGTAAAATATTTCCAAATAAGAGGAAAAATCTTGCCTTTTAGTGTGATTTTTGTTCGGAGTGCAGTCTCTGAAACTTTTGGAAGCTCGCCGACACTTTCCGATTGGAAGCGAAAAGATGAGACTCTCAAAGTCCTCAGGGCGAAACTGCATTCAGGTCTTAAAAGATGTCACGAGGCCTGGTTGTCTTAGCATAACATCTTGTCTTAGCATACATCGGAGATGGAAATGGTCGCTGGCCTTGATAACCACCGGAAGTTGTCCCGTCTGATGGGGGAAACGGACAGTAGAAGATTTCATGGAATTTTGTAAGCAGAGTGATCCGCACTTACATGACGAAGCAGGCGGCTAGGATGCCGCAATCGAACGAAGCCAATACGCTGATTGGTTCGTAGTTGGCAATGTTTGACTGGGGTTGTTTACATGATTTCAAGGAAGAATCTCATGCATGCAGCAATGTCGTTAGTTATGGAACTGACACAGCTATTTACATCGAGGCTTCTACAACCAAATCATGCTCTCACATTCGTTGAGCTTGCTTTCTTGAATAAACCCTTCGTCACTGAAGGACCGAGTTTTGCGACAAGAAGCCTGATGTTAGCAAGACCATAGTGACGATAGTAGACGGCCAATCCCGAGTTCGTCAAATTGCATAAATCATTGGGCCCAACAGTTTGAAATATAGCTTAACCAACTCAAGGTACCAGCTTTTCCTTCAATCATTGATCTTCCTTATCTCTGGGCCTTCCTCCTAGACCCGCGTTCTCGCGCAAAAGTCGAATGTGTGATCAGACTGTTTAAACTGAATAAGATCGCAGCAGCGGATAGAACGCCTCCAGTTTTCTTCACATTCGGGGGCCTGCTCTTGCAGGTGATTTAAACAACTTACTTGGGCAGCTGTGAGTGTAGTGAACTGTCCCAGCAAACTGGAGCTGCTCGATAATCGGCGCGAGTATTAAGGAGGTCTCACTTTCGGAATGCGGTAGTCATAGAGAAATCAGAGAATATCAGTTACCTCCAAAATACTCGCCTCCGTCGATCTTCATGGAATTGCTGGCACTTGTGGAATCCAGATTTGTGAGGAAAAAGCCGCGTTTCGTCGAAGTCGAGGCTGTGTTGCTCACATCTTTACATCAAGTCGATTGTTGGAGTACCACCGTAGTTATCGACGACCCACTGTAGTTGTGATCCTCAACACCAAAGATGCTTTCGATTTAGTTGATCGACATGCACTTTGGGACGTTTTGCTCCGGAATAATGTGCCCGAGTAATAGGTAGACGTTATCAGATCATTGTATGCGCAGATTTTAGGCAGAGTGAGAGTTTACAAAATGTTATCACCGCCCTTCATTATCTCCATCAGTGTGAGAAGTGGATGCCCGCTATCTCCTTACATTTTTAAGTTCTTCATCGACGAACTCATGTAGTCTGCGTTCCCTGAACACTACCCGCAAGATAAGGAGCTTTTCCCAAGCGATCGACTTCTTCACTCGGAGTATACCAAGGACATTGCCTTTATCTGCGAAAGCTCCCGAACGGGCCAAGTAGCTCTGGATAACTGAGCATTGGCTGTTAGTCGTTTCGGGCTTTGCTTTGCTTCTTTGAAATACAAAGTGCTCTAATATTTGTAGGGACCCAAGCTTACGCAGATCCTTTGTAATAGACCGCTAAAAGTCGTCGAGAATTGCAATTATCGAGATAGCTGTATCTGCGCCAGTAGAATGAAAGATGAGACCACGTAACGTATAGCAAAATCCCGAGGCGCTTTTGCCAACCTCCACCATATTATCGTCGGCGCGACATTAATCTCGTCCTGAAAAGCAGGTTTCACAATGTCGTTTTCCGTTCAACCATCATGTATGGTTAGGAAACGTGGTACACCGAGAGCACCATGTTAGCATTGAGCTTGTTCGGCTTCGTGCATGTGTGCAGAAGTGTGGAGAGCGAGTGAACCGCTCGGGACCGTTATTTCATACACCAGGCTCCGAAGTCTAGACCACGTGTGGTGCATGCCAGCGCACAGTGTCGGGCATTGACTGCGCGCGGGTTTGTGGATGGAAGCAGATGTGGGAAAGCCAAGTGATGGCTAAGTCAAGAGGAAGAAAGACGGTCACTTTGAACCTGTCGTTGGTTGAGGTCTCCCGACTGCCTAGGTGGGGACCGAAGCACGATGAACACGTCTGGTTGCAGCTGTTAGTTGACATGGCAAAGTGATGAACTCGGTGGTGTTTGTGTTGTGAGTTTCTCTGTCACTCCCTGTTACCGACAAATCGGTCGTGGAACTCGAGCAACACTTAGCACCCAGGTCAATCTAAAGTGAAAGCCTGAAGAACTACGATGCTATTTACAATAAATAAAAAACAATTTAGTAACAAACAATAAACAATATTCAGACCAACATGAATACAATAATTAGCTCTCAAATGCAAAGTTCTCTCAAGCCATGCCAAACAACAGCAAACGTGAACCAGTAGGGAAACCGAAGCAAAACGGTTCCAATGTTATTCATAGTGGTTTACAACGAAGTACTCACACGTCAGTCGATCAGCCGTTGAACAATATACACGGAACACGGGTGAGTAGATGACGAATCTAGCCAACACTCACTCAGACAATGAAGGTGTGCCCGGAACATGGGAAAACCTGCTGAACAATCGATAGAGCATGTGACAAGGGAATGTGCGAATTTCTGGATGAATGTTCGGGGCAGGAATACAAAGTAATTTGGGACTGCACCGGTGGCATGCTTCGGTGGAATCCGACAGTCTGGGATTAGTTCGTTACACTCCCCTTCCCCTTATCTTCCACTTTTAGCATAATCTGTTAGCAAGCACTGTGTTACTTTTTGTATTCTAATATGTTCATTATCTCTTTTGTTCTTTAATCTTTCGGTATTGAAGCACAGTGGTTTTTGTTATTTTCTGACGTTTAAGTATGATGGTGTTTGTCATTGCTGTGGGCTTTATCATGTAGCTTCCTAGAACTTTCTCCTGTAATTTGGGTCCCACTTGGCTAAATCGTTAAGCAAATTTGATAACTAATGAAGGGGACATATCCACTTTACCCACCTTGCCTCGCACGTTATGGTCTAATTGAAACACCTGGCGTTTGCCTTTAAACGTTACACGGCGTGGCTTGTGGCCGGCACTATTGACGCGTTTGCCGTCGTGTCCTAGTATGAATAACTTTGTGTCTATTTGGTGATGTCTTATTTGGAGGCAGGACAGTGAAATCCACAAGTCAGCAGTCTCGCCGATGCCGCCTGATCTTCGCACGGCAGTCAGCAGTTTGTGCCGGCGCATTGAAGACAGGGTGTAGGCGTCTTAACCTTTAATATTTCTATTTGGTGCTTAGACTTGACACCAGGCACTGCTACATTCCTTCTAATGTTTCTTGTTATGCGGTGCAGGTTGCTGATCTACTGTTGTCATTACTGTTAGTTTGTTGTAATGCAGCGAGTTAAGTAATTGAGCCTTATCTTCAGCGCAGACGGTTCGCTTCCTAGGTTTGTGTGCCATAACGATAATCTCGCTCACAGACCATTGATTGCTTATGCATGGCTATGAATCAGCAGTATAAATTACCGCTAGTTTTCCCAACCTAAACTATAGGCAAAGCTTTGGTTTCTATTGATAAATTGATTTCTCGATAAGACAACTGACAATGCAGCTGTGATCTCTTTTAACTTGAAAAGTGAAAGACACGTAAGGGGTTCAAGTGTCTAGCGACATGCTATTAATTGCGGCGATGTATTCTACCGAGTAAAGCGACTCCTTAATGTCTGCCTGGTGCTAATTAAGCATAAACTGATAAAGAGACAAGTTAAGTTTTTACAACCAATACTACTAACTGCGTTCTTTATAAAAGCTTTTCCATGTCTATACCAGAACATCTAACGATGCATGTTAGGAAATATTTCTAAACCAATATAAAATAATTGTTCGTTGCTCACTGTGTTTAGCAGACATTGTGCCTTGGATTTTTTACTCCGGCCTCCATTCGTAAGCAACCATAGGGCGCTTCGCTTCATGTGGCTGTCGCATGCACACCACACATCTTTACAGTGGTAATTGTAGCCCAGATGTGTTTTTAGAATATGTCCAAAGGACAAAAAATATTTAAAAAATTCATATAGGAAGATAAGCATGATTTTATGACAGAACATGTCAGATAATGAAAGTTCAGACTTTTCGTTGATACTACGTGTGCACAAAAACTAACAACAACTTCATTAAAAATCATTTTTACTGCCGTTTGCTTAACAGACTGAAGCCTCTACTCGGGGAATGACGATCACAGCCTCAGGCACCAGATTCCATGGACCTCGCTTCAATTTGAATGATCCAGTGCATTCTAAGCCCTTTGACATCAAGTCACGAGTTACCAACTCCTAAAACGGACCAAAAGACACCTGCGGCTCGCCACCCATCCAGCCATTTATAAATATTCTGATTGAGAAAGAAAAACCCTGAGTGACTTTTGCATATGTACGCAAATCATGAAGACATTCAGAAAATGACGAGAAGTTTCTTTTTAGTATATTACACTAGCAGTAACAGCGACGTAGCTGATAATCATGTCATTTCTTACTTTCTATTCTCAACTAGTAGCTTTGGGTTAGCGAACGTGCATTTCGCCACAAGATACACGGGTGCAAACATTGACTCCTTACTCATCAGAACAGCTTTCCGTAATTGAATACATATGTACGTTCATGAAGGCATAAAGTGTTAGATACAGAACAATTCATTCGCGAGACAAATTGTGTTCTCTGGTATATTAATAAATGAGGCTCTTACATTTGTTAATTGTGCATTGTGTCAGTTGACTTGAGGATACTGAACGCGGTATCTTAACTGACAACCTGCTGTTGAACGAAATTATCGAAATTAGATGCGTCAAAATCTGATGCCTTCCTCACAATCCAGAAGATTGAAATGATCAAGAACTTTCACCAAGCGTTAGTCTGAGTCGGGATAGCCTGCCTTTTTACATACACAGTTGTTGATTCAATTTAGAGTTTGGGTTGATGGTGGAACACTTATAACTGTAATAATGAGATGTTATAAATATAACACTGGACCTAATATTTATGGTCTAATATACTATGGGATATCTAAACTGCGTTTCCTACAAAGCGCATTTCCGTTTGCTATTTGTTGATTCAGTATAGAAAGTATGAACGCTACTGCATACATCAAAGCTGTTGGTGTTACGAACCAGATGAAACCAACTCCTGGGAAACACTGGCTAATACTGAGCGCAGACTTAACAAAGCGGACAATCTGGGCTCTTTGTTTGCTTTCACCAAGATGCGTGGACATTCGCAGACTGCCTTTGCCATACTGCATACATGACAGATGCAGGAAAGTATATTATGCATAATTGTATATTTTAATAAATCTAAAATGGTTATCAATTAGGCACACTAAACACGTAGTTTATGACCATACGATATGTTTCGCACTTCGCTAATCAGTAATCATAATCTTCGCTTGACCCTGACTTTCCAGATTATCACAAGCAGGCTAACAGCGATAATATTCTGGCGAAATGGAGCGAGCACTAAGGAGTTTTCCGTTAAATATCTCATGTGGACTAGGCTAGCGAAAAGTTGGTGAGATTGCACACATCACAGTTGAGCACATTCAAAGAAACCTGTAGCTGTTCTTCTTAAGGTGTTAGTAATTGTTTATAAACTTGCTGGTAGTGTTGGCTGAAATCATATATTATTACATCTTAGTATCTAGTTTCCCTAGAGGCTGTGAATGCAAGATGCGTTGCGACAGATAAAAATCATAAAGTACTACTTACCAATTCGGCCCGTTGCATTGCATGACTGTGAGTACAATAAGGGAAATTTTTTAACCTAGTTACTCGTGTTGGCCTCTCAACTTGGACCCACATTTTGAGATTCAGCGGTACCATGACAAACTGCCCAACTAAAGGTTGCTGCCGAATAGTCAATGAGCTAAATGACAGCGATACCACTTCTCACTTGCTAACTTCCTTACCGTAGTCCCTTGCAAGCATAGTGCATCAGCTATCATCAGTAGTACAGAAGCTATCATGCATAGTACAGTAGCTGTCATCCGCAGTACAGAAGATATCATCCGATACTCACCGCACTTGCATCCATAAAAAGCGACAGATTCGCTTCGGGTTCGAGGGACTCGTAAAAGCTTCCTGGTCCAGCCGAAAAAGGAAGCCGCGACGTTAACTACGTTGCTGGTAAATAAAATAAAACTCAAATACATATTTACATACCTCAACAGTGCCCGTTCAGTTATGAAACAACTGCGATACACAAACAAACAGCCCCCAAAACAGTGAGTATCGAGCGCCTGCGAGAGAAGTATGCAGCAGTCTTTCTGGAAGACCACTGTAAGTGCACCAAAGTACAATCTTTATTACCCCTTAAAGCCCAAAACCGATGGTTGACCAGGAGCTGAATCTTTGAGAGAGAGTAGAACTTATCAAGTTTGTAAACTACTCAACCTGGGCAACACTTACTGTGATTGTTAACAAGCCGAATGGTTAAATTCAAATATGTGCCGATTTCTCAAAGGGTCTGAATGCTGCACTGAACGCTCATCAATACCCCTTGCCACTTCCGGAAACTATTTTGTTTTCAAAACTGAATTTGGGTAGATGTTTCTCAAAACTGGATTTTTCCGACACCTACCTGCAGATCGAGGTACAGGAAGCCTCAGGATAATTACTCACCATCAATGCGCATCGAGGATTGTATCAGTACGACAGTCTTCCGTTTGGAGTCAAGTCCGCACCAGCCATATTCCAACAGATCAAGGGCGCAACGCTAACAGACGTCAATGACGCAGTTGCATACCTTGATGAGATCATCGTTGTCTGAGGTAATGCTGGTATCATGTTCGAAAAGTTGGATCGAGTACTTGGTCGTGTTGAAGAGTATCGATTCAGACTCGACCGGAGAACTGCACCGTATTTATGGACTCAATTACGTTTCTCAATTTTATAATCGACAGAATGACAGACGTCCAGATCCAGGGAACATCGAAGCTATCAAAATGGTGATGCTCTCCAAAGATGTTGCAATACTAAAGTCTTTACTAAGACTCATAAGCCATTACGGCCTGTTTTTGCCGCATGTGTATCGATTACGTGGCCCACTGAATTAATTACTGATCAAGGATAAGCCCTGGAACTGGTCTAAAGAAGGTCAGAGATCACTTGAGCAGGTGAAAACGCTTCTGTGTTCCGATCTTCTACTGATGCACTACAATCCTACCTTAGAGATTGTGGTGGCCGCAGACGCCTAGAACTATGACATTGGGGCAGTCATAGCCTACAATTTCGCAGACGGCTTGTAACGCGCTTATCTACCCATGAAATTCTTCTACTCATCGCTTCGTGGTCCAGTCTACAGACCTTGGCCGATCGTTGATGGATATCGACCAGCGTTCACGTGCGCCTCCTTACATTCCCATTGTTAGCGATGTAAGTGTGTCTGTGTGTGCATGCTAATCCCTGGCACTGGTTCCGTGCGTGTGTGGCTACCGGCGACCTTGGATCTCCAACCCTACTCTTCACCGAACATGACACGTTCAGCCCGGAGCATGTGTCGCAACCCTCCCCCGTTCACTGGTCGCTCGTCCAAACACCATGTTTATGCGTGCCATTAAACTCTGACCCTATGATTGGACCATCCATTGATTGGTCAACGCCATTATTCTTAATACTCGTAGCACTCAGGTGTGGTGACTAGTTCCTTTGATTGTCCGGCGTAGACAACTCGTTCCCTCCTATTGTTTACTGACACCTTGTTGTCAACGTGCATACACCGGGATACTGAACAATTGAAGTATGTCCCAATTATCAACTGTATATATTTTAATAGTACCGCAGTATTTGTGATCCGACTTGTTTGATTTCGGGATCTTTGGCTACGCGTTATTCAACGTTCACGGTGGATGTTACACGGCTCATAAAAGGCAATTTCACACGCAGCCAGTTCGCTGTCTCCCGCAGAAGGAACTTATGGTCAGATAGAGAAAGAGACCTTGGTGATAGTTTTCGCAGTAAAGAAATTTCACGAGATGCTTATGGGAGAACGTTCACACTTCTTAATTATGATAAGCCGCTGCTGGCAATTTTCGGATCAGACTCAGGCATTATCGTCTACACAGCGAACAGGCTGAGATTTTGAGCCACCACTTTGATCGGTTACGACATTTTGGTGAAGCACATCTCCACAAAGGACATGAGCCAAGCTGACGCGCTTTCTTGACTATTGAAAGATCAGCAGCCCCATAAAGAAGAATCAATCATCGCAGCGATTTCTTTGGAGTCTGAAGTGAACCTAGTGTTGCTGGAGAGTCCCAGAAAGCTTCCGGTTACTTTTGATAGGGTGCGTGATGCATTAGCCCGTTATCCAGTCCTTCAACAAGCGATTGAATATCACACTACACAGTGGCCCAAGTATAAACTGACAGGTGAGCTGCATAAGTTGTTCCTAAGGATGGATGAACTGTCATTCGTCAACGGTTGCTTAATGCTGTCCGAACGAGTTTTGGTCCCCTCAGAGCTTCGCCACAGGGTTCTACAGCAGATCCATTGCAACTATCCTGGTATTAAGCGGATGAAGATGATTGCTCGGAGTTTCGTTTACTGGTCGAATGTCGACTGCGAACTGGAGTAGATGGCAAAGTCATGTCAGAGGTGTAAACTGGCCAGTAAAGCGCTCAGAAAGGCGGAATTAACCTCCTGGCCTTTGACAACGAAGCCGTGGGAGGGTGTGCATGCCTTTTTCTGTGGTTCGGTGAATGGGCAGCTGTATATTTTTATTGTTTACATCTTCAGTAAATGGTCCGAGGTATTCTGCCTGGCGCATGTGACCAGTGATGCAACAGTCAACTTGCTAAGGGAGCTTTCCAGCCAATATGGAGTGCCAGAGATGCTGGTCACAGACAAGGGCTCACCACTTGTTCCTGTTTTGGCGAGTACTGCGATCAGAATGGCATTGCCCAGGTATGCTCGCCACCGTTTCATCTACAATCTAACGGACAGTCAGAACGATTTGTCGATATCTTGAAGCGAGCTTTACTAAAAATGAGGGGAGAGGGAACCACGCAGAAGATATTGGATGAGTTTTCACTATTATACCGGATGACACCGAATTCCCATCTCCCGAATCAGCTCACCAGCAGAAGCTTTAATGGTAGGAAAGCTTCGCACAGTGAACGCGTTATGGCTTCCGAAGCAAGATACCCCGCAAGAAAGAAATCTGAGAACGGAGGACTATTATAACCAGCAAAATAGGACACAGGACATAGGGCAGAAAGTTTTGGTCAGAGACTACCACATAAGAGGACCAAGGTGGGCGGCAGGTCTGATCCAGAGCAGATTTGGACGTGTCCTATATAAGGTTAAAGTGGGGGACCACATTAGGATCAGGCACGCTAATCAGCTTCGGCCAACTAGCAAATCGATAAACACATTCTGTCGACCGCTACCACTGGATATCCCGATGAACAGCTTTAACCTGTCAGTCAATACACAGAACGCTTCTAATGCACCTTGCACGAACGTCACAGAAGAGCAAATTATGCAACCAAGACGCTGCTCTGATCGGCACGGAGACCAGTCATCAGAATGCAGTTGGATCCGAGAAGAAAGTCACAGGTGAACTTGCGCGAGGGATGTGTTACAGGAAGATAGCTTTCACTCAGCGTTTCGGCCCCGTGGATCGATCTACAGTTAGAGATCGAACTCAAATAGAGATCAAAATGCGAATCGATGTGGAAGCAAGGGCAAGTTGGACCATG